CAGTCTGATCATAGGTGTTTTGGCTCCTCCCCCTCAGTCTGATGTAGATGTTTTGTCTCCTCCCCCTCAGTGAGATCTCATGTGTTTTGTCTCCTCCCCCTCAGTGATCGACATCCTGAGCCTCCAGGACTCCAAGCAGAGCGTGGCGGCGGTGGAGAAGTTATCGGGCGGTCTGAGCGCGCTCAGCGACGTCTACGTGGTGTCGACGTTCCGGCTGCCACCGAAGCTGGGCGGGGTTCTGTTCGGTCTCTACAGTAAGCAGGACAACAGGAAGTACCTGGAGGTTGCCATCATGGGGAAGATCAACAAAGGTGGGTTGAAATGGACCGGCTCAGCCCGGATGTTCTGATCCAAATCTCTGTCATGTTCCACGAATCTTGAACGTGTCAGAATGAATTCTGGGTAAATGTGTGTGAGGCAATGCAGCTGGAGGCTGCTGGGTTCTGGGGGTTCTGTTTCAGGGTCAGACGGTTTGAATTTGGGTTTCAGAACCTAAACAGATCCAAAGAGTGCATATTTAAAACTAGTTTGTATAAAACTTTTGATTGATTATAAGTTAATTAATTCTGATGAATGATCTGCAGACATATCAGAAAACGTTCTTTGGTTCTGATCGGGACAGTTGTGTTTGGGTCAGAGTCACATGACACGTCCACCCTGTGAGATGTTCAAGTCAATGTCAATGGTGGATCAGAGGCCTGCAGGTGGAGTCTGGTATCAGAATCGGTTCTGACCCGGCTGTTTTCTCCATCTAATGACTCTGTGAGTTCTGGCTGCAGCAGATCTAACAGAACCAGAACCTCTACAGTCTGACCTGAGATTTCAGGAACTGCTGTGGGTTTGTGTTTCTGCCCACTGCGACCTTTGACCTCTGAAGGGGTGAACGGGTCCGGTCCGTTACTTTTGGAGGTTCCTTGGAGCTCCAGTTCTACAGAATCCTGCAGGATCCAGCATTCTCCGTGTGATATGGAGTCCGTGTTCTCCGGTGCAGCTCGGTTCTTGAGGATTTGAGGGAGACCCGACCCGGAGCAGGTAGGAGGTTCGTGGCGGTAGTGTCACGCTAACGTGGCGTGACCTGAGCAAGGCGTGTCAGGGTAGGGCTCAGGAGATCTTGGGAAACGTAGAACCGTTGTGGTACCAGCACCGGGTTCTTCCAGTGACAGCAAAACACGGCCAAGTGGAGGTGCTGTTCAGTCCAGCATCTGTGGGCTGTTTTGGACCAACAAGTCCGGTCCAAAGAGGTCCCACCTCAGAACCACCAGGACTTAGTCTATTCAAGTAAAGTCAGATAGAGTGAGATGAGGTGGAATTATCTGCAGAACCTCTGTTCTCTCTGGGTCTGTCTGGACCTCCTGATGTTCTGAACCCAGACTGTTTCATTGGTTACAACTCCTTCCTCCTGCTGCTCTCAGCTGCCAGAACCCAGTTCTTCAGAACTTTTCCAGTTCCGTTGTCTCACTCAGAGCTCCATGAAGAGTTCTGCTGCTCCGTGACATCATACAGCATCTTCTCAGCACCACACCTTCACTTTCTTCGTTACCTTCTCTGGTCTCCATGCCTCCTCTGAACCTCAACCTGTTCCTCCTCCTCCTCTTCATCAGTTCTGGTCCGGTACGTGAAGGCTGACGGGAAGCTGCACACCGTGAACCTGCAGAACTCCAACCTGGCCGACGGTCGGACCCACTCCATCATCGTGAGGCTCGGCGGCCTTCAGCGCAGCAGCATGCAGGCGGAGCTCTACGTCGACTGCCGATTGGCCGACTCTGGCCAGGGCCTGCCGCCATTGGTTCCTCTGCCTAGCGAGGCGGAGCTAGTGGAGGTCCGACACGGACAGAAGTCCTACGCACGACTGCAGGTCAGAGAGATTCAGCTGGAATTGTTCCATCTTCTGTTGTTTTAGTCTAACTCCCGCAGACGGTGATGATTTAGCTGTTACATGAAAACCTTCAGCTCATTCAGGAGACGGCTGCTGTCACTTTTAGTTTTTGTAACTTTTATAAAATGCCCACAGCTGAACGTGGAGTTCACAGATTATACCATGAAGTGTTCAAATGATTGTTGATGATGTTGTGCTTTTTGAATTGTCAAAAAAAACAAAAACGTTGTCTTTTGCAAACAATCTTTTTTTTTGCACAACATTTTTGTTGTAAATTCAAGCTAAACATCAAAACTTCAGCTGTTTTGTCTTCTTTCACCCTCTGTGTCTCACACTGCTGTAGGACTGATGGTTTTCCCTCAAATCCCACCCAGAAAACAAGAGACTCACCGAGCTTCGATATTCAGTTATATTTTAGCTCTTCAAGACAGGAAGTAAAGGCATTTAACTTGTCATACCGCCAAAATAAAACACAGCAGAAACATAAAAATCAAAGTGTTTGATCATCGGAGTCTTCTGCTGCTCACAGGCTGAGAATATTTAAGATTCAACTTATTGTTTTCACACAGTAACTGTTTGAGGCTTACTTTTCAGTCCGTTTGTCTGACTCTCATTAACATGGCAGTGAGGGTGTGACAGGCAGGTGTGTGGTTACCATGGTGACCACAACGAGCCACTGGCAGCATCTTTAATGTTCCCTTTGATCTTGGTTCTCTTCACACTTGTACAGTTTCAAAGCTTCTGTTTGTCTTCATGTCCATCAGGGGACCGTGGAGTCCCTCCGCCTGGCTTTAGGGGGCAGCGTAGCTAAAGCTGGAGCTCTGACAGACTGTCCGTTCCAGGGAGACTCATCCGCCTACAACTCAGGTGAGCTCACCTGGATATGTGCAATGTCCCACAGTGCAGTTTGAATATAATCAATAAAAATGATAGAGAATCAGCATTTTTCTTCAGAAACTCAGTGTCAGCGCTGAATGACAGTTGAATCTTACAGAGGAAGCTAAAACTGAGTCGTATGAGCTAAAACAAGAAGAACAGAAGCTGAAATTAACAGAACGCAGACTAAAGGCAGCAGAACAGTAGCTAAAATTAAGAAAGCTATAGTTAAAATTAGCAAAGCATAAAATAATAGCTGCTGTAACTGTAACAAACAGTAGCAAAGTGATTGTTAAAGGTAACAGAATGATAGCTAAACGCTAAAAGTAGTTAAACCGTAGCTTTAAGTTAAATAAAGTTAAATATTTAGAAAACGGAAAAGGTACAAAAACCTGAAGTCTCAGCACTCATCTGCTGAATGAGCCGAAGGTTTCAAGATGGTAAAACTAAAGTTCCTGAGAAACTTTAAACAGGAAAACTGAAATGTGAATGATGACTCATATGCTGTTATTAGAGGTAAATAAAACATGTTTGTTTGTTTGTTTGTTTGTTTCAGTGAGCGGGGAGCTCCACTCCATCCTGGGTGAGAATCTGTTCAGAACCAATCGTTGACCTGATCGGATCAATAAGCACCTGGATTCAGAGTTCTGACGGGACGTCTTGTTTGTTTTTATTTGTGGTCAGGTGAGCACACGAAGGCTCTGATTGGTCAGCTCATCATCTTCAACCAGATCCTGGGAGAGCTGCGGCAGGACATCAGAGAACAGGTGGGGACAGGTGGGACAGGACGTCAGAAGACAGGTGGGACAGGATGTCTTAGAACAGATGAGGACAGGCGGGACAGGATGTCTTAGAACAGATGAGGACAGGTGGGACAGGATGTCTTAGAACAGGTGCGATGGGGCAGGGGGACAGGTGACAAAAGTTAAATGGACCAGGAGGACGGGTGAGACAAGGGGAAAAGTCAGACAGAAGGACAGGTGAGTCAAAGGGATCTGAACTGAGGACGTTGTCTTTGTTCATCTTCAGGTGAAGGAAATGTCTCTGATCAGGAACACCATCCTGGAGTGTCAGGTTTGTGGTGAGTCAGCAGGTCTCCTTCCTCTTCACAGGATTGTCTGAGGGTCAGATATGAGGACCTAATTGAAGCCGGCCTCGGTCTGTCTCTTTGTCCATCTGCAGGTTTCCATGAGCCTCGGTCCCGCTGCTCTCCCAACCCGTGCTACAAAGGTGTGTCCTGCGTGGACAGTCTGCATTACCCTGGATACACCTGTGGACCATGTCCACCTGGAACCACCGGGAACGGGACACACTGCAAGGACATTGACGAGGTACAGACCTGAGGACATAAAACACACGAGTGTCCACCACGTCCTTTAACGGCCATGATGTTTGTCCTCAGTGCGAGTTTCAGCCCTGTTACACTCCTGAAGCCTGCCTGAACACAATGGGGGGGTTCAGCTGTAAACCCTGTCCTCCAGGACTGTGGGGGGCACCACTGGCTGGAACCGGCCTGGACTATGTCAAGTCCAACAAACAGGTCAGACACACAATCAACATTAAGAATGGACGAGGCGGTTTTACTTTTACCTGCTGTTCAGCGCTAAAGCCAAAAACTGAATGATGTTTTTATTCAGTCTTGTTTGTTTCCATAGAGGGGCGGAGCTTAAAAATGAGGGCTACAAGAGCCGCTTGTCGTTTGTTGCTTCAGCTTCCACGCTTCCATTTCTCATAGATCTCAACACACACAGGAGGTTTCTAACTGGACCAAGTGAACTGATTAGAGCCGTTTGAGTTCATGCTAAACAACCACTGGACCATTCAGAACTACACATAACAGCTACAGTAATGAGGCATGAAAAGAATAAATAACAGCCCTAAAATAAAAACAAATAAAGCCAATAGACTAGAATAAAATAAAGAGCTGTGTTTTTATTAAACGTTGCTGTAAAAGAAGCCCTGGATAATTTCAGTCATTTGGAAACGTTTCTTCAGTATTTCTTTCAGTCTCTTATAAAACAAACAGATGTTTACAGTCAGTAAAGTTCTGCTGGATCGTTTGAATTCTGTCTGTGTTTTTCAGGAGTGTGTGGACGTCGATGAGTGTATCGATCTTCCTGACGCCTGCGTGTCCAACTCCGTCTGCATCAACACCGTGGTGAGTCCAGCTTGTTTCACGTCCAGTCAGGCTGCGTGTGAGCTCTGTGCTCGGAGGAGAAAACACGCTCTCCAAAGCTGAAACTGTTTTAAAACTCTAACATCAATCTGGAGTCCAGAGTAAAAGTAGGGAACAGCTCCCCCTGGTGGACCGGAGGCTGTAACGACACTACATCTCTTTCAGGGTTCATACAAATGTGGAGGCTGCAAACCTGGTTTCCTTGGCAACCAAACATCAGGCTGCTTCCCCAGGAAGTCGTGCTCTGCGTTGACCTTTAACCCCTGTGACAGCAACGCCCACTGCACCATGGAGAGGAACGGGGAGGTTTCCTGCAGGGTGAGGACGCGTTCAGAGGCTCCACCTGTTGACGCCTGTTTTTATCTAAAACGAAAACAAAACGAGTCAAAGTCAAAAACTGCCTTCAGCTTTTATAACGTGAAGCGCTCACGGTTTTCTTGTTTATCGTTTCTGTCAAACGGTTTCAGTTATTTTAGTCTTTCAGGAATCAGGACATTACCGCTGTAACTTTAGGTTCTCCAGCTTTTTAAGAGTTTTTGAAACATTTACCTCGTCCTCTTCTTCACCTTGAAATGCACGAGACTCCTTCAAATTCTTTAAAATGCCTGTTTGAAACTTACCTCAGAGTACCGGCTCCATTTATGTCCCTTTATACTTATTTTTGTCTTTTTATTGATATCTATAAAAACAGCTGCATTGAATTTCAGGTAAATGTTGCTACAGTATTTGTGTTTAGATTACATATTTTTGAATCTTATTTTAGAGTTTTATGTAAACTTTTAGCCCCAATTCTTTCACTTGTTTTAATTTTCCTCGGGTCTGAGCTGTTTCAAGGCCTGTACAGTTTGAGAGAAACTTGTAAACTTTGTGTTTTTAAGGCCTTTTATTTGAGTAAAAACAGTAGTGTGTCCTCTGTGTACTGAATGACGACAGTCAGTGAGAGGTTCTGTGTTTTCAGTGTAACGTGGGCTGGGCTGGAAATGGACACACGTGTGGGATGGACACGGACATCGATGGTTACCCGGACCGGTCTCTGCCTTGTTTGGACAACAACAAACACTGTAAACAGGTCTGATATGCTGAGTCTCCAAATTCACATCAAACGTGAATTTTAGTCGACTTGTTCTGCGTAGATCTTTATGTTTGGTACTTCACGTCGTCTTCTTCATTATTTTCTGTTTTTGTCCATCAGGACAACTGTGTCCTCACCCCGAACTCCGGCCAGGAGGACGCAGACAATGACGGGATCGGAGACCAGTGTGACGAGGATGCAGATGGAGACGGCATCAAGAACGTGGAGGTTAGAGATCGATCTTGTTGTTGCCGTGGTGACGAGCGTCCCAGGAGTCACGCGATCATGTGACGTGTCCTCCTGTCTCTCAGGACAACTGCCGATTAGTCCCCAACAAAGACCAGCAGAACTCAGACAGCGACTCGTTCGGGGACTCGTGCGATAACTGTCCCACCGTGTCCAACAGCGACCAGAAAGACACGGACAACAACGGCCAGGGAGACGCCTGCGACCAGGACATTGACGGAGACGGTGAGACACAAACCAAGGATTCTGGTCCAAATTATTTACTGTGGTTTTCCGTGTGGGGTGATCAGAGTTTTAACATTTTGATTAAAAATATTTGGTCAGGTGACGTTTCTTCAAAGGTTGAAATAAAATAGAAGTATTTACGTACAAAAAAAGCTTAATTTAAACATTTAATCTGTTTATTTTGTTTGTACACGACGTCCTGACCATGTCGTCAACACCATGTGTTGTATTTTTGTTCCTGAGAGAGAACTCCACCAACCTCCAGAGGTTTCACATCTGCATGCAGACAAAAACTGAATAAACTCAGTAAACTACAGTAAAACAGGAGAACATGAACAGAAACATCTGGAAACTTGACTCTGGTCCACGTGATGTTGGTGCAGTTCTGATGGGCTCAAACTTCACCTGAAGGTAGACTTTAGAAAAAATACGTCATATAAATCATTGTACCTTATTTTCCAGTGTATAAAAGTCACCGTTTTTTGCATAGATTTGTCAGTCCTGCGACTTATATACTTTTCTTTTTATATACATTTTTTTTCCATATTCATAATGCAATTTTGACTGACGTTTTAAATGTTCATTCATACCGACATGAGCCAGAGTGAACATTCCTATTTGCAGCTGCTAGAGGCACGAGAGGGACCTCTAGGCATTTGACAACTACTGGTAGGTGCCAGTGTTGCCAGATAGAGTCGAGGTTTTCCAGCCCCAAAAATATGTTAAAAACCGCCCCATCACACAAAAACCCGCCCAATCAATATATTGTTATATTTACTGTTTGAACACATACACACACACACACACACACAATACCCCCCACCCCCTGTAAAGATATATTGGTGTTTATATGTTCATCCATGTGATTAATCAAAATCAGCTGAACGTGAACGTTACTGCTCTTTATTCAGAAACTCAACACGTCACATTTCAGGATCTGGTTATTATAGACACAGATTAATTGTTCAATATGAATATTTCTATACTTATCACCACAGTAATAGTGTTACACACATTAATAGTTGTAAACATTCAAAATAATACATGTTGGTTTAGTGCTTACCTTTAACCTAAATATTTTAGGAGTAAACATTTTTATAATCACTTTAAAAGTTACAAATGTTGTCTTTGGTGCCTGTTTGTTTTCCAAATGTATCAGTGTGTGTGAATGACAGGCATTAACATAAAACACTTTGCAGAACGGTGCTTTATAAAGTTCAGTGCATTTCCTTCTATCAGGTGACCAGCAGTTCTGCCACATTCAATATGGCGGCCGCTCCGACGCACCACTGCAACCAGAGAGCCCTATGAGAATCTATGAAAATGTGTATATATATATATATATATATATATATATATATATATATATATATATATATAAATTATTTTTTTTTATATTAATCTATAAATATAAAATCTATAAATCTCTATGGTGCTTGCGTCTACTAAAACTGCCTCACCAGCTCTCTGTTGTGAACGCCCTGGCAGATGACAGTAGCCAATCAGTGATGGAGAAAGGTCAGGGGAGATTTGTTATGAAATAATGATGAATGATTGTTTGAAATGTGTTTGACAGGTTAACTCAAAAACCGCCGATCTGACTCCAAATCCGCCCAAATGATCCCCACCCGTCCAAAGCAATTTTTACCCGCAAAATCAGAATGAAATGAAAATTGCCCAATTGGCGGTAAACCGCCCAATCTGGCAACACAGGCGCATATGTTGTTCCTGTACCGCTACCCCCGGCCCCTGCCAAACATTGACCATTAAAGTGCATTTATTGAGGAAAAAGTTAAACTGAGACCCATCTTTGCTGTAATGTCGAGCAAACAAATAATTGTTTTTAAGTGTTAATCTTGTTCTATTTCGAAGAACTGCAACAACGAGTTGCTCCCGTGGCTGCCAATCAATTTTTGGCAGCCAAACGATTTTTGGCATGACACTGGCCCACGTTTCCCAGGGGTCAGCGGTGACGCATAATAAACACGACTTGTACTCCAAAACGACTTTTATATGTTTTTTTTTCCTCTTCATTATGCTTTTTTTGACTGATGTGACTTATACTCCGGAGCGACTTATATGCCAGAAAATACTGTATGGTGACGTTTACATGTTCCCACTGTGCACTCGCATTTCCGCCAGTTCCCTCCCACATACTCCAACCTCCATGTTAGGGTCAGTGGTGACTCTAGTCTCTAGATGTGAGTGAGGATGTCCTGTGTGTCTTTATATACGTGTCCCTGTGATGGACTGGAGATCTGTCCAGGTGTCCCCCGTCTCTCACACGGTGGCTGCTGGACAAACAACACTATGGATGGATGGATAAGTGATAAAGATGAAAAGTCTGATTACTTCTGGGTCATTTCAGCACCTGATTTGTACATTTAAAACACAAACACCTTTACTGCCCCCTGCAGGCACAAAGCAGAACTACAGCAGCTGTGAAGGAATACAACTTGTAACTTTAATTCTTCTCAGGCTATTTTTTTTTTTTTTTTTTTAATGTGTCTTTCCTTACAGACACCAGAGGACAGCTAAGACCAGGAAACATTTTCCTGCCTGATTATCAGAAATGTTTTCCTTTGTTCAGGTATTCCCAACGTTTTGGACAACTGTCCAAAGGTCCCGAACCCGATGCAGACAGACAGAGACAGGGATGGCGTCGGGGACGCCTGCGACAGCTGTCCTGAACTCAGCAACCCCATGCAGGTGGGACGAGCCCGATCCACGGGACTGGTTCTGTTCAGCTTCAGTTATCTTTAAGAGACCAGAAGCATAAATCAATTGTTAGAATAAAAATGATCCCAGGGATTTTTCTGCTTTGATGAGAGACCAACACGTGGCTGAGGCTGTGTCTCGGACCGGTCCCTGATGTCAGAACTAATGCTCGGCAGGTCAAAGGTCACAGGGTTTCTGTGTCTCTCTTTCAGACGGACGTGGACAACGACCTGGTGGGAGACATTTGCGACACCAACCAGGACACGTATGTACCCCCAGAACCAGAGTCTTGACCCAAACCAGAACCACAGAAAATCGGGCTGACCCATCAGAGTCTACTTTAGAAAAGACTAATAAAATCTGGAGAACGGACCTCGTCACCTGGTTCTGCTGAGGTCCAAACACGTCAGCAGTTAAACTTAATTTAGATAAAACAGCTTCAAACAAAGTTTTACTGTTTCGCCACAAATAAAAATGATTGTAGCGTCACGTGATGTTCTAAAGTGTTCTGGTCCTCTGCAGAGATGGAGACGGACACCAGGACACCCGGGACAACTGCCCCGACATCCCCAACAGCTCCCAGCTGGACTCGGACAACGACGGCCTCGGAGACGACTGTGACCACGACGACGACAACGACGGCGTCCTCGATGACTTCGATAACTGCAGACTGATCATCAATCCCAACCAGAAGGACTCAGATGGTATTTTGGTATTTATGTCCCAAGAAAACAATATACTGGTCATTTTTTGTTCCTCCCTGACCCTCTCCCCCGTCTGTCTGTCTCCTTCTGTGTGTCCTCAGCCAACGGCGTTGGGGACGTCTGTGAGAATGACTTTGATAACGACGCTGTGATGGATCAGGTGGACGTGTGTCCAGAAAGCGCTGAGGTCACACTCACGGACTTCAGGGCCTATCAGACTGTGATCCTGGACCCTGAGGGCGACGCCCAGATCGATCCAAACTGGGTGGTTCTGAACCAGGTGACAGACGGAGCTCCCTGTCAGAGTAAAACTGAACGCCTGTGTCGCTGAGACGTCTTAGCAGAGACACCTGTAAACACTTCAGATTGGATCAATGATGTCATTGTTTGTGTCCCGAGTATTTATCACAGAAGAAGAATTTAAAGACCAAACAAGCAGCTAATGATAAAGACAATGATCTTATTTCTGGTTCCAGGGAATGGAGATCGTCCAGACGATGAACAGTGATCCTGGTTTGGCCATTGGTGTGTTTTTCTCGTTAAACCTCATTAATAATCAAAACAATTTCCAATTCTGGTCCGGTTCTGACCATCCCGTGTGTCTGCAGGCTACACGGCGTTTAACGGCGTAGACTTCGAGGGAACGTTCCACGTCAACACGGTGACGGACGATGATTACGCTGGCTTCGTCTTCGGCTACCAGGACTCATCCAGCTTCTACGTGGTGATGTGGAAACAGACGGAGCAATCATATTGGCAGAACCTCCCCTTCAGAGCCACGGCCCAGCCCGCCCTGCAGCTCAAGGTTCTGTCTCGGTTCAGTTCGGGTCTCCTTTATGTCTCAGAACCGTTAGCAGCATCACCGCAGTAAATAACACGACGTCTGCAGGAAGCATCAAGAAACTGTGAAGAGAAAAACACTGGTGTGAATCCTGAACCGTCAGACGTCCGGTTGGAACTGAATTCGTTGTTTGGTCTTGCAGGCGGTGAAGTCTAGAACCGGACCGGGTGAGTTTCTGAGGAACGCTCTGTGGCACACCGGAGACACGCCTGGAGAGGTGAAGCTGCTCTGGAAAGACCCCCGAAACACCGGCTGGAAGGACAAAACCTCATACCGCTGGCAGCTCAGCCACCGACCGCAGGTGGGGTACATCAGGTAAGGCCAGAACCAGGACTGACACAAGATCTGCAGGTGGGTTAGATCCTGTCCAGACTCTCCCTCTCCTTACCCCGACATCCTGTTCTGGGCCCAGAACTCTGGAAATATGGGGGATGTAGATCCTGAATCATCCAGGACTGCAATATTTTATAGAGTTCTGAAGGTCTCTGTCCCCGTAGTATTCTGTGGGACTCTGTGAAACTCTGTAGGACGTTGCAGTACTTTATCACAGACACTAGGAATCTGTGAGACTCTGTGTCTCTGTAATACCCTGAAAGACTTTGCAGGACTCTGTAGGTCTCTGCAGGACTATGTACTAGCAAGACTTCCAGTACATCAGTATTGTACAGGACAGATCCTGCAGTATTTAGGTGTCTCTGTCTCAGCCTGCAGCTTTCTGATTGAATATGTAGGACTCTATAGTACCCTGTTGTACTCTGTGGTATATTTTAGTCCTCTGTAGTACCCTGTTTTCCTGTCTCTCGGTGATATACAGTACAGGGCAGATCTGCAGTATTTGGTCCCCTGTTTCCATCTTGTCCTACAGATGTCTCCAGCTCTCGTCCGTCTTTTCTTTCTGTTGCATTCTTTCTCTCTGAAACTCCTTTGTGGCCCCGGGGCCCCCCGGTCCTCCATTGTACCCGTCTCCATGACGACCACAGCTCTGGCATGAATCCGCCTCGGCAGCCGTTGATATGCAAATCAGACCGAGAGGCAAATACCTGCTGAGGTTCTGCTCTGGAACCCGGGTCTGAACCAGAACTGAATCTTAGAGGCAGAGTTTAAGGGGATTTGTTTCCATCAGTTTATTTTAAATCAGAACCTGCTGCTGTTAATCCAGGATTTATTATGATGGTTCTGAAGGTTCTGGGAGCAGCAGCAGATCTGAACAAACATTTTTCAGTCGGCCTGAAGGTTCATCTGGAGTTTAACTGCTGAGGAGGTGCAGAATCAGTTTGGATTGTTGGTTCCAGCTTTCTAAAATAAATAAATAAAAACACCATCAATCCATCAGTCAGGGAGTGACAGACAGGCGTGTGGTTACCATGGTGATCACAAAGAGCTCAGTGTTCTTGTCCTGTTGCATCTTTCCTGACCTCAGACTGTTCAGGTTATGTTGGAGGGCTTTTTAATCCCGGTCTTCAGACTCTCGTGGAGCAGTTTTGGGTTTTCCTGGTTCTAACAGGAGTTTGGTTTCTGACCCGATCCGTCTCTGGTGGTCTCGGTTCCTCAGGGTGAAGCTGTTCGAGGGAACAGACATGGTGGCGGACTCTGAAGTGGTCGTCGACACGACGATGAGAGGAGGAAGACTCGGTGTCTTCTGCTTCTCCCAGGAGAACATCATCTGGTCCAACCTGCGGTACCGATGCAACGGTACGACGGCACCAGCCGGTTCTGCTGCACAAAGATTCAACAAAACTGAAAATAAACCTTTTTTTTGTTTGTTTCAGACACGGTGCCCGACGACTTCAAGACTCATCGGAAACAAGTTGTGATGCACATTCAGGTCTGAGACCGACGAACAGAACCCGAACAGAACCCGAACCCTGAAGTCTGTCAGAGCTCCTGTGGAGAAGCTTTAGTGCGTGTGCGTGCGTGTGTGTGTGTGTGTGTGTGTGCGCTCAGAGAATCAGAAAACATGATTTCAGCTCAGATCCTTTGGTTCCGTTCACTTCGGACCTCCAACAAGTCATATTTTTGCAGCTCTGGTCATTTCGTACCCGGACTTTCTGGGTACAAAAAGCAGGGGTCTGCCTCGGCCTGTGTCGTACCCTCCTCAGCCTCATCGTAGAGTTCATCCAGCTCACTTTGGAAATGCAGATCAGCAGATTTGGACCCGGTTAGAACCAGAACATTGTTGTTCTGGATAATCCCAGACAGAAGACGTTCAAAGACTGGATTAAATCAGACGTAAAGCTGCTAAAAGAAAGATTCTGTTTGTCTGAAGAACGCCTGACGTGATCTGGACTCCTCACCTGGGACCGGTGTACGCACTGAGTCAGAACCTGAACTCGTGTACGGGTCGGGTCACATGTCCCTCTAAATGTCATCACTTCCTGTTTATCTTGTTACAATTACAGCAAATCAAACTTGGACACCTGCAGTGCATGCTGGGATACATTCACAGGGTCTGTGCACAGTTTGGTGGAGGTCCGAACCGAGCGGCTCCTGTCTGCTGGGCTCTCACAGGTTCTACTTCAGTCTTTAAATGGTTCTGAGAGGCTTGGAGGAAAACGACCCAAACAGAACCTGCAGCTTTATTTCAACACCAGAAAAAAGTATTTAAAGTTTTATAAACAGATTTTATTTTCTGAGAGTTAGAATCTGGTCTTCCAACATGTCTGCAGAGCAGCTGCAGTCGAGGTCGGCTCTGAGCCGAACACAGATCATTTTAGCTTCAAACAGCTGAAAATCAAGAGGTTCTGTCCAACAGAACTTTACTGTACCGTCCTCCTGTCCGGCACCAGAAACTAAACTTTTTGTTCTTGTGGTCAGAACACCATCAGACGTTCAGGAGCAGAAACAACAAACTCCCAGCACAAGTTCTGTTTTTTAGAGAAATATTTAAAAACAGTTTGTATTAAAATGATGTGACGATCACAGCAGGAGTTAGTTTTTATAGTTACACTTATTTACATTTATTATTTTTATTCTGTGATGTTTTGGGATCAGAAACGAATAAAAACAGGCTGGAATCAAACAAAACGCTCCAATCCTGCCTAAAGATCAAATTTATCTGATGTATTTTGAAATGTTTATCTGAAATAAAATAAAAGATTTTGTGATGTTGGTATCTTTCCTCTTAAAACCCAAAATAATCTGTGACACAAGTTCAGTTCTCTCTTTCAAAAAGACAAAAACTAAACAAGAAACTAACAACAATAATGTTCAGCTCGTCGCCCTGCAGCGGTTCACATTAACTCCTGCAGCGGTTCAGATTAAATCCTGCAGTTGTTCAACTCGTCATCTTGTGGTTTAGATTAAATCCTCTAATGGTTCAGATAATTCCTGCAGCGGTTCAGATTAATTCTTGTAGCTGTTCAGATATAATTCCTGCAGCAGTTCAGATTAATTCATGCAGCGGTTCAGATTTCTGCAGCAGTTCAGATTAATTCCTGCAGTGGTTCAGAATAAATCCTGCAATTGTTCAGCTCGTCATCCTGTAGTGGTTCACATTAAATCCTCTAATGGTTCAGATCAATTCCTGCATTGGTTCAGATTAAATCCTTCAGCTGTTCAGATCAATTCCTGCATTGGTTCAGATTAAATCCTGCATCTGTTCAGATTAATTCCTGTAGCTGTTCAGATTAATTCCTGCAGCAGTTCAGATTAATTCCTGCAGCGGTTCAGATTAATTCCTGCAGCAGTTCAGATTAATTCCTGCAGCGGTTCAGATTAATTCCTGCAGCAGTTCAGATTAATTCCTGCAGTGGTTCAGATTAATTTCTGCAGCGGTTCAGATTAAACCTGAATTGCTTCAGTCTAAATGTTGAAGTGGTTCAGATTAAATGGTCTGTATTTATATAGCGCCTTTCTATCTTATCAATATACTCAAAGCGCTTTACACTAAAATCTGTGCCCTCATTTACCTCCACACACAAACAGCACTCTACTAGATCTATACAAGGACTAATCTGAATCTGTAGAGACTAGTCAGAGCTTTCGATCACATTCATACACCGATGGGCCACACATCGGAGGCAATGAGGGGTTCAGTGTCTTGCTCAGGGACACTTCAACATGTTGGTGGAGTCGAACCCCTAAATCTCCCGTTGGAGGTCAACTGCTCAAACCACTCAGCCACAGCTGACGATTAAATCCTGCAAAGGTTCAGGTTTGGTTTATTTGTCCTATGTAAAATCAGCACAAGGTCAACGATGCAATGAAATGCTCAGGACGAGAAGAACCGTCTCGACTCGCCAAAAAAACAACAACAAATACCAAAGCATGCAACAACAATATAAAAACAAGGCACATAAAGTGAAAAAGAAATGCATCTACAGCAGTATGGTCCTGTTAGCAGAGTGGTTCTGTTGTCAGTGAGGCTCAGATTAAATCCCAAAGTGGTTTAGATTAAATTCTAAAGAAGTTCAGATTAAATCCTGCAGCAGTTCAGTCTAAATCCTGCAGTGGCTCAGTTTAATTCCTGCAGGGGTTCGAACTAAATCCTGCAGCAGATTCAGAAAAGTTTCTGCTTCATCAGGCTAGAGGACATAAACTCACCTTGAACTCTGCTGGACTTCGATTCTGAGCTGCATCCTTCCTGGAGGGGGGCCTTGGGAAGTCGTGACCCCTGGGCCGGGGAGGCCGGGACGAGTGCAATATTGGAGGGGACATGTCAACAGTGCACCGCATCCTGGACCTGCCCGACCCTGGGAGGCTCTGGACCACCCACCCTGGAACAGTTCAGAAGACTTTAAACCACAGACTAAAAGAAACAGAACTTAATCTAACTTCAGCTGAAAACCAGATTAAACTGAACCCACTCAAACCTGAACTTAAAGGGATATTTAGAAGATTTTAAAATGGGATTCTGTGACGGGTTAAAGAGTAAATATCTTATCTGTTGTGACTAGTTCTTTGAACGATGTCAGTTTAGAAAAATAAACTTTATTCTGACCGAACTGATGAAGTCATGGCTAGTGCTACTTTAGCCGAAACTTAAATCTCAACACTTTGTGCTATATATATATATATATATATATATATATATATATAGCACAAGTTAGCCTTTAGCTCGTCAGTTCCTACCTTTAAAATTACAAAGACCAGCTGAAACAGGTGAAGTGCGTTTGTTTACCTCAAGAAACAGCCAAACTGTGTTCAGCTACAGAAACAGCCAAAGTTGAAGCAGTTTTCATGTACTGATACGTGTTTATGCTCAGGTTTGTTGAGGCAAGTCTGCAGATAAACTTTGTTTACGTCGGGTGCAGACCCACATTTCAGAATCACTGATCAAAACGTCAGGTAAACGACCGGAACAAACTCTTTCAGACGGAACCATCTGAGCGTTCAGGATAAACATTTTTATGTTGTAGTTCACAGTTTGGAACGAGGACCTGAAAACTCTTATTTTTACATAACCTGAGTTTGTTTAAAGACTCATCTGCAACAGGTAAGATATTAACTGTTTATAACTAACACAGAACCTCATTGAAATCTTGAATTCCTTAATCAGGTTTTTTATGTTGTCTTCCATTTAAAGTTTCACTGACTGTGGACAGTTTAATGACACAACAAACAAACAAGATGAAGTTTCACTTCTTTAAAATCCAAAATGCACTCGGAATAATAAAAAAAAATGCTACATAACGGTTCAGAACTGTCAGAACACTAAACGGCTCCTTTTTGTTCTGCAGCCACAAATGAAATGAAGAAAAACAAAACTTCTTTTGGGACCAGAACCAGAACCAGTGGAGGTGAACCGCCTGAACTTAAATATGTTTTAAACTCCTCTGACGTCACGGTCCTCTCCCATCAACCACATTTTGACAGAAAACAGAGAAATAAATCTGAGTTTTCTCATCGTGTTCAACTTAAAGCCACATTTAATAAAGAAACTCACACAATTTAATTATTAAATGTTTAACAAGTTTATTCTCTGTGGAAATTAATCAAACGTATTGAGTTGAACAGTAATCAAACTGTACATTAATTAAATAATTTGTTTCATTCTTTATTTTTATTTTTCACACATTCAGACACAAACTGTTTTATTCAGTTTATATTAAAGTGGAAACATTTTTATTTTAATGTTTGGACCATTTAATTAAAATAATTTAGTTGAACTTTTTGTAGTTATTTCCTGTGACTTTAAATGTTTTGTTTTTCTAATTAACCTTTGCTTCTGCAGGATTTTTGAGTGTTTATTTAAATTTAAACTTTTTATATATATATATATATTGAATTTAAAACCTGATGAGTTTAATGAAATAAAATAAAGCTTTATTTCTAAAAACACAACACTATATGACGTCATTCTAAGATAGTTTTCTGATTAAACGTTTATAAAATCAAAGTGTTGATTTTTTACTGAACATCACATCTAAAAATAAATAATAAATAAATATTCTCCTGAAATATTATTTCAGCCACGAGATTATTTTAGATTCCAGCAAATGTTTGATTCTTAAAACAAAATCCCGAACATTTATAAAGTTCTTGAAACTTTTTAGCTGATTTAAGGAGAAGCAGTGACAAAAACAGATTTATATTCTGATTTAAACATTTAGAGTAAAAGACTGACCCACCTTGTGGGCGGCCGTGGTGCAGTGGTAGTGGCAGCCGACCTCTGATCGGAAGGTTGGAGGTTCGAATCCCGACTTCCCACACCATGTGCCGTTGTGTCCCTGGGCAAGACACTTAACCCCGAGTTGCTCCCGGTGGGACTGGATGGCGCCTTGCATGGCAGCCTACCGCCACCGGTGTATGAATGTGCGTGTGAATGGGTGGATGGCTGGTACTGTAAAGCGCCTTGGGGCCCCTCATAGGGGGCTGGAAGGCGCTATAGAAGTAAGCTCCATTTACCATTTACCATTTACCTGCTCAGTCAGACTGTGGTCCTGCAGGGTCTGGTCTGTGGAGGGTCTGGGACCGTCAGTCCTGGTTTTGTTCCCCCTCTGGACTCGAACAAAGGGCCTGAAGCTGCTCAGTGAGGCGTGGAGGGGCCCCTCTTCAGTCCTGAGGGGAATTTAACCTGTTCATTTCACTCTCACTCATTCAAACAGCTCCAGCTTTATTCTCACAGCAGGTGAAACAAACACACCTGCAGCTGCAGCACCCCCTGCTGCCTGGAATAGGTGCTACATGCAGATTACAGTACATAATGGGAATATTTTAATGGATTATGGGTTTTATTTGATTAAATTCTACCCATAATAAAATAGTTAAAGAGCCTAGCGTGACTGTGTGCCTCATACTGAGGTACTTCTAAAAACGAACTGCAGAAGCATGGCGGCCACTCACTGAGCACCAACTACGCTGGATTGGACTTGTGATCCAGATGCCTCAGCATCGACTGCTGCATGGCCTACACTTAGCCAGAGGGCAGAAAAATAGATATAAAGACCAGATGAAAACCTCTTTGAGGGAGTGTAACATCAAGCTTAAGGACCTAGAGGCTGTTGCTGCTGCTCGTGACTCCTGGAGACGATGTTGTTTCACGTCAGGCTGGAGGAGGGCAGGACCACCAGAAGAGTGAGGAAAAGAGAACAGGAGGAACAATCCCTTGATGCCAGAACTATCACCACTACAGCAACTTTCATACTCTGGCATACAGAACCTCACTGACCTACACAAGGCGAGGTCAGTGAACAAGGCCAGGCTGATTCTGGCAGATCCTGATCATCCACTCCATGGTGAGTTCAGGTTGCTTCCATCTGGACGCAGGTATCTGCTGCCCAGATGTTGGACGATCAGACTGAAAAACTCATTTACCCCTGTAGCGATCAGGCTTCTCAACAATCACTGATGATTTATGTACATTTATTTTAATGTCTCAATATGAAGTGGTGGTGCAGAGGTTAGATAAGGTGGGCCTGTGATCGGAAGATCATTGGTTCAACTTCCGGTACCGACAACGTCAAAATGTGGGTGGGATAGGTGAAGCACCCACACCTGCCTCCACCCTCATTTGCACCACTCTGGGCCCTTGAGCAAGGCCCTTAACCCCCACCATCTGCTCCCCCGGGCACCCTAGATGTCAGCTCTCTGCTCCACACAGAGGGCTGTGGTAGCTCGGTGGTCTGTGGTTGTGTCAGGAAGGACATCCAGCGTAAAAATAATCGCCAAGTCTTCGTGCGACTTAGTTCACTGTGGTGACCCCTGAAGAAGGGCGCAGCCGAAAGAAGAAAGAATAAATGTCTCAATGTTTAGAATGTTCTGTGTGTCGACTGACTGTGAAACAAATTGCCCCTTGAGGGAAATAAAGATTCTTGAACTTGCAACTTTCATACGCCCCCACCTGCAACCTGCAGCAAAACATGTAGCTCCAGAACTGGCTTGCATCGAAGAAGTCATCGCTACAGGACGTCATCATCGGACTACGATGGACAACCAAGAAGAAGAACAAGGTGTGCGTGTGTGTGGTGGGGGTGAGTACTTATTGTGTGTATCAGTGTGTATCTGTGTGTATGTATGGTGCGTGTGTGTGTTTATCTCTGTGTGTGAATGTGTGTATATGTGGTGTGCATGTTGTGTGTGCATGTTGTGTGTGCATGTGTGTGTGTGTGTGTGTGTGTGTGTGCGTGTGTGTGTGTGTGTGTGTGGACAGTTGTCGTGCAGCAGGTGGTCGTTGAGGATTTTTTTAGAAAGGCTTGAAGCTCCCAGTCAGCTGTGAGTGCAGCATTAGTTTCAGACCAGGACCAGGACTACGACCAGGGTGGGCCCTTACAGACCTGCTGAGTTCTCGACAGACCTGGATCGGGCCTTCATGTGTTTCGGGTCATTTTTCAGAGGGACAGAGCGAGCTCATGGACGGACTCTGATCCTGCAGCAGCTGGAGGTGAGCGGCTAAAACAAACATTTCATGTTTACGTGTTTCTTTCAAAAAGTTTTGAACCCATAAATCTGAGGAAAAAACCTCCTGTAGGTCCGAACCGGGTCAACATGCAGAACCACTGACATGTTCTGATTTACCTTTCATCTGTCACACAGAAACAGACAGTTTAACTGCTAAAAACATCAACTTTAACTTCATATTCTTCCAGTCAACAAACTCCTGAATCTATATTAAAAATATATATATTTTAAACAGGTGGAAAAAATTTTATCAACTTTTGGTTTGCTTCTTATTTTATTTTGTTGGTAATAATATTTTACAGTTTTTATTTCTATACATTTTTATTGAAATTTGACTTGTTTCACAATTATAATCAAAGCTAAAAAAAAAAAAGTTTATTCACCTGTAAGTTTTTCATCAAAGAAGCTGATTCAAAGTGTGAAGCAAAATATTTAATATTTCCAATGCAGTTTTATTAAGAAATGTAAAAAATAAACAAATGAACACTTGTTTAAAGAAGTGAAAACATAAATAAAAAAAACAGGAATCAAACAATAAAACTGTAATAACATCTAACAAGGAACAAAATCCAACAAATAAAAACACGTTTTAAGCTTCAAAAAGGCAGACATGGGAGAATGGGCAGGTAGGTAAGCGCTCAGAAAGAGGGGAGCATTTAAAGATTTACAAACAGATAAAATATTTTTAAATTGATTCTAAAAGGCATAGTCAATGAAGCAAAGATTTAAAAACAGATGTGGTTGAACCTTCTGTGGCTGGTTGACAGATGTGTCACAGCATTTTACACCATCTGTAAATGAGCAGCGACCCAAACATACGGAGCATTACGGCAGACCAGCCGGGTCCAGGGCTTAATTTGAGCTGGATCCTGCCGAACAAGATCCAGGAACTCTTATTTTTGACAGGGTGTGTTCTGGTAACTGTTTGCTTGGATCGGGTAACTTTTAGGCTTACTAAATAATAAAGTTATGAACAAATTTGACTGTCTTGAATAAATAAAACCTATAATGGATATGTAATCTGAAAATAATTACGTAAACACTAATTTTAAACACAACAGCCACTTACAAGCTTCTTAATATCACATAAGAGCTGCCCCTTCAAGTAAGTATTTCCACTTCTACCCTTAAAAAATCTCTGCCACTAAAAGTTCAGTCGTGGGCAATTGAACTAAAAACACAAAAATATAATTAAACAGCACAACTAAATTCCAAATTAGTTTTACAGTTTAAGTGGGTCATTAATAAAGTTTTGATTATTTATTAAAAATACGAGAGAAATGTTTGATGGGTAATCACGTATGTCACATTTCAAAACAACCGTGTCGATTCGTCAAAATAACAGCGATCAAAATGTCAAAAAGACAGTCCAATTTACTTCCATTAAAAAAAAATCTCATTGTACAACTAAACAACCAAGAATTGAAGCACATGAAGGCAGTGGCAATGGAGATAGTACTCAACGTAGAGGTGGCGGTGGGGGGGGGCTATGATGCTCGAGAGAAGTGGAGTGTGCTCTATGCACAAAAGGGGAGCTGTTGGTCAGGTTACTTCTTCTTGCTCTCTAAAATACTGTAGTTATTGATTCAAGTGTTTTCTAGGTAAACACAGATTAACAACCCTTTAAAGTACATCAGAATGCAGGAAATGGCATCTACTTTATTCATAATTTTCTGGGGGAGCCCCACCCCATGTTATTTGTGTTCCGGCATCGTCTGGTTTACAAATTAAGCACTGGCCGGGTCGTACCAACGGCAGGGATCACTGCTTCAAACCTCTGATCCACCTTCTCTTGGCCAACAGCCTCAAATGAAAGAAGCTCAACGTAACTGACTTTATCTGCCGGTTTCATTCTAGATGAACGATAATTGGACCAATAAATTTGTGACAACTGGTTTGATGTTCTGGGAGAAGGAGGCAGACAAAGACATTTTATCCACATTTGACCATTTTTTAAACTTTTCTTCTGTCACAGTTTTTATACCATCACCTGCACTTTTAAATAAAATAAATTGTGCCTCTAGGGAATCAGGAATATAGTTTTTTGTTGGATCTCCAGCTCAGAGTTCACAGAAGAACCGTCATCTCAAACACAATCAAAGGAGGATTTTACTGACAGAATGTTCAACTCAGAGCAGAAACGTTCAAAATCACAAACAGTTTTCACACTTCTCCTAAAATGTCTTCATTAAATCATAGACGTCTTGTCTCCGTCCACCAGAGTGTCTCTGCTGCAGGACTGATGGTGTCCTCTCAGAGGTCAGAGGTAACCCAAACTCTCGTTGACTCCCACCGCAGCTGAGCTCGGAGATTCCTCTTCAAACAGGAAGTAAAGGCTCTTTTTAACATCACATCTCTTCATTGAACCTCGTAGAACCATCAAACAGAACCTGTGGTCCATCAGAACGTTCTGCTACTCACAGGTCAAGAAGTTCTTTGATCTTCCTGAGTCTTCACACAGAGTCTGTTTGGCTGAGGCTTACTTTTTGCTCTGTGGTTCTGCCTCAAGCTCACAGATGGTCTTCAAAATAAGAGTCTGCTTCAGTCGTAGCGTCCGTGCCCTGAATTCCGGTAAATCCTGGAGTTTCAGGAAGGAGCAGCATCTGTTCTGTCTTTTTTTTATTTTTTATTCAACCTTTATACAGGTTAGTCTCATTGAGTCATGAGGACTCGTCTTCAAGAGGAACCTGTTTCTTCACCATCTAAATACATGAGCTCATCATGTTGAAAGAAACTCACCAAGATTTAATTTTCCTGCGGTTTTATCAGATTTCAGCAAAAACTGAGCCAAACTTACGGAGGAAGATTTCTGGAATACTTTGTCCTAAAAATACGAATAGCATTCATACCACACACGTGTGTATTTATGGGTGTGTGTGACGAAAGTTGTTGTGGGGGAGGGCTGGAGGTTAAATTTAGTTCTCAGACTGAACCCATAAACAGAACCAGAACTTTTACTGTCCTTCCAGGAGGATCCAACCCAACTGAGAACTTTAATCTGAATTAAATATGACGTTAAATCTACAGCCCGATTCAGAAAACATCAGGATGACAAGTCAAACATAGACAGACAGACAGACACATACACATACACAGACACATCTTTTACCTTCTTCTTCCTTTTTGGGTCACTGGTGTCCATGTCCAGCAGTCACTGTGTGAGGGGCGGGGGACACCCTGGACATGTCTCCAGTCCATCACAGGGACAAATAGAGACAAACGAGACAAACAACCATTCACTCTCTCTCACACCTGGACAATTTAGAGTTACCAGTCAGAGTCAGAGGTATTATTGTCATTTCAGCTACGTACAAGTACATATTGACTGTCTTTCTGTTTTTAAAGCAGCAGGGGTATAAACTGTGTAAGGTGCAAAAATAAAAAAAAACTTGAGCAGATTGTAAAAACGTACGATAAACGAAAAAGTCACAAACAGTGCAACACAGTAGTTGTGTGTATTTAGGTTGTGTGTGTGTGTCAGAGTTCATCATTTTTTCATTCAACCTTTATTTCTACAGGTTAATCCCATTGAGCCTCGGAAACTCATTCACAAGAGAGACCTGAATTTTAACAGAGTGATGACAACAGTGGACAACACCGACAATAATAGACAATTATAAAAGATGCATGGTATTATTTTTAACAAGCCAACATATAATGGCAACCAAAAGGACAATCAATAGGAAACGTAACAAAAAACAGTTTGATTATAAGGATTATCATAATATAATTATAGATTATCATGTGTGTGTGTCAGAGTTCTTCAGATTCTTCTAATCTGTGGATCATATTCTGAACTGGAGATGATGGAGATTAAAGTTTTTATTCAGGAACTTTATTCTGAAATTGTTCCTGTAGTTTTAGACAGACTGCTGAACCTGTGCCCATCTTTACTTCTAACGGTCTCTGACCTGCTGATAATTCACCTCATCAGTTGCAGAATGTTCCTCCTGGTTCTGATCCGGACCTCTGACTCTTGTTGTTCACGTCAAAGTCTAAATTATTTCATCTTCTCGTGGAAATGGTTCCGTTTGTTAGTTTCAACGTTTCATCTGTTTAATATGTTGTGAATAATATATGGGTTCATGAGATTTTCATAAACTGTATTAATTTGAGCTTTTCTGTGTTCTGGTGGCACGTTGGCTCAGTGGGTAGAGCTGTTTCCTCTCAGCAAGAAGGTCGCCGATTCAAATCCTGGCCGGGGACCTTTCTGGGTGGAGTTTGCATATTCTCTTTGTGCATGTGTGGATTTTCTCCGGGTACTCCGGTTTCCTCCCACACACCAAAAATACAAAAACATGCATGTTAGGCTGATACTGAGGAGACTGGAGAAAGTCCATTTGCCACCTCCCATCCTCACCACCTTCGGCAGAGGAATCATCAAGAGCATCTTGAACAGACTCTCCAGTGAATAGTGAAGACAGCTGAAAAGATCATCGGGGTATCTCTTCCATCTCTCATGGACGTTTTCAACAATGGCTGCATCCAGAAAGCTCTCAGCATTGTGGAGGACCCGTCTCACCCATCACATGGACTTTTTATTCTCTCTGGGAGAAGGTCCTGCAGCATTTAGACAACCAGTAACAGCTTCATCCCACAATCCTCAACTCTAGTCTCTGACCCACACACACACACACACATACACGCACACACACACACACACACACTCGATGAACTCTGACACACACACATGATGATCTGAGCTCAAAGGATGAGGCCCTCAGTGGCCACTGCATTAAAACCAGGTCTGGTTCTGGTTCTGGTCTGGTCTCAGGAACACTTCCACAAATGCTGCTAAAAGCTCTATCAGACAAAGAAGAAACCAGATGGACTGAGGTGAAGTCCAGAACTGTTCTCAGGTCAGACAGGTCCAAATCTGAAAGCACATCGTCGTCCAGACTGAAGAGGATTTGATTTGTTTTTGTGAAACGTTCTAACTTTATTTTGAACTTGTCTTTATGGATGTTTCTATCTTTGCCCGTCTTGGTGTTTTATAAACAAATTAATTGATTATCGGTCTCTGATCTGAGATCTGAGTTCTGCCTCCTCAGAGGGCTTATCGAGGCTGAAGCTCCTCTTCAGATCTGACCCTCAGTCAGTTTTTGTCTTTGGCTCATCAGCTGAAACCTGAGCCTCCGTTTTTTTTTTTTTTTTAACCGCTGAACAACAGCTGAAAACAGACTCTGAGTCTGATGGAGGGATGGACCTGCAGGGAACCATAACCCTGCAGGTTCTGTGGGATGTTTAGAAGAGTCACTGCCAATTATGACCTCAGACAAATTGTTTCTGGTCAGATCACTCTGAGCACAGCAGTCCATCTGTGATTCATCTTGACGAAAACTGAGGGAAACTGGGAGCTAACTGGAACCACCATCATCATCATCATCATCAGGCATCTGCTTATTTACAGCTGGAGGAGAGGGGAGGAGCTTCCCGCTCAAGCGAGACTGACAGGATGTCCATCTGTGTTGTCTTTCAGAGCGCTGTTCACCTTTGACCCCGCTGATGGACCTGCGAGCAGCCGTACACTTTGTACCGTTACCATGGAAACTCTGCATCCACCCAACTCTGCTGCTGCTGGTCCAGCTGAGTTTACCTGAAGGTACACATGCACACACACATACACAGGTTTGTCTTGCTATCTTTATGGGGCCTTTGCATTGACTTCATTCATTTTTCATTAATTTATATAGCTTAACCCTGACCCTAACCCTAAACCTAACCTCTAACCCACCAATGACGCTTGAACCTTATGGGGACAGGGCTTTGGTCCCCTCAAAGAGCAATTGGTCCTCACAATGTAGTATACGTTCAAAAATGGTCCTCACAAAGTAACAAAAAAAAGTCTCCCCCCCCCCCCCCACACACACAGAGCAAGCAGCAAAGAACATCATCATAAAGAAAGATGAACAAAGCATAGTTGTTAACTTCGATTGTCTAACACTGTAAGGAAGTTTCCGAGGGTGAGACGTTTTGGAGAGCCCAGCCGTCTCAGCCTGGTGACATCTCCTCTGAGTTCACAGATGTTCAGCTCAAGTCCTGAATCTTTCTGCTCCTCAGTCAGAGCTTCCTGTCGTATCCTGAAGTGTAACTCTGAGTTCGTGGCTGCAACCTTTGACCTGAGCAGCGGTGGTGCAGCGGCTCTCAGCAGGGAGGCGGTGAATGCCGGGTACTGCAGCGCCCTGCGCACCTACGCCATGTGCACCAAGAGGATGGCTCGGCCGTGTCGGGGCGATCTGGCATACCACTCTGCGGTTCAGGGGATCGAGGACCTGCTGATCCAGCGCAGCTGCCCCCGGGCAGGGCCCACGGCCCAACCACGGCCGCAGCCTCAGGGGACACTGTCAGAAGACACCTGCCTGTACGAGAAGAGCTTCTTCAGCAGAGAGGGACGGATGCCTGAGTACCTGCACTGCAGTGTGTTTGGAGACCTGCACATTCGAACCTTCAGCAATGACTTCCACACCTGCGCAGTGCAGGGAGCGTGGCCTCTTATAGACAACGAGCACCTGTACGTTCAGGCCACCACTTCACCAGCGAGAGGAGGAACACACCCCACAGTTCTCACCAAGGTTAGTCAAAGTTCATCTCAGATCTTTGAATGCATCATTACGTCTTCGTGCAGCAAAACATTTCCTCCTGATTTGACAGACGTCTCCCTAAACGTACGAGAACAAAGTTTGATGTTCCTGACAGAGCAGAGCAGAGTTATGTCTGCAGTGGCACTCGGCCGGAGTGAGCTGGTTGTTTTCTGCAGTAGTAATTGGAACAACAGTTCTCTTGAGTGTACTGAATTCTTAGAATTAGTTCATTTAAATGATTCGTTGAAAAGATTAATTCACCGAATCGTTACATTCATGCAGTTTATGTAGGAGTGGTGGTTTTGTCCCTGGTGACGTGTTTATGTCTGTGTTCCCTTGATCCTCTGTTTCTATCTTTATAGGGTTTGTCTCTTTAGTATCTAGCTCCATCTTGTGTCGTGTTTATGCCTTGCATTCTCTATCTCTTTCTTTGGCATCTGTGATTACTCACAGGTGCCTTCACTTTGCCTAATTGGTGTTTCCTGTATATAAATCTGTGTCTGTGTTAGACCTTATCCTGGCGTTGTCTTCTGTTCACTGGTGATCAGCTGTCTGTGTCGTGAATACCCCCTGATCATTCTATGTTTGTTTTGCTGCCCTGTCAGATCTTTTGTGTTGTTAATAAATTATTTATTTTTATATAATCATCCTGAATCTTTGCTTGCACCACTGGGTTCACCAGCACCAGCCATTTGTGACTGTTTATCTGTGCAGCACGTGAGTGAATGACACAGCGCCACTTCCAGCACAGAACTACAAAAACGAATCACTCCTCAGCAGCAGTTCTGTGTGTGTGTGTGCATGCACGAATCATCAGTTCGTTCACTGAATGAATCGTTTTCTGGCAGACTCCTCTCTCTGATGTTCACGAGTGACACAACACTACAGCAGCAAGCAGCACGTTCACTAAAAGTAAACACAGTTCTCTTTCTTTTACTAGTATTAATATCAAGACTTTATTAAGGACACAGAACATCTGGTCTATAGGAAAGACTGGAATAAAAATTGCAGTTTGTCATTTAAGGTAAAAAAAAAAAAAAAAAAGACGGGGAGATTAAAAACAATAAATGCATACCTAAACACAAGCTTCACACATAAAACAACAAACAGTAGATAAAGGCTAAAATACAAATGGTTTGTTGCTCTGTCAGAGGTCCGACAGAACCTTTGATCCATGTCTTCTTGCCGCTCTGCTTCCTGTCAGATCACCATCATCTTTAAGAACTGGCGTCAGTGCATCGAGCAGCAGCTCTACCAGGCCGAGCTGGACAACGTTCCTGCTGCGTTCGCTGATGGCTCCGTGTGGAACGGCGAGCGCCGAGGTCACCGCAGCCTGACGGTCCGGACCGAGAGTCCCGGTCAGCACACGGAGATCCGGGCGGCCCACATCGGCACGCTGCTGGTGGTGCGTCAGAGCGGACGCTCTCTCAGCCTGTCCGTCAGCTCGCCACGCGACATCGTGGAGGCCTTCGGACCAGACCACGACCTGCAGCTGTGCGTGTGGGGCTGCCCCGCCTCCCAGAAGCTCAACACGCTCCGCCCCCCTTCACCAGACCCTTTGGAGCCTGTTTCTTTAAGTGCCGAGGCCCACTGCGCTGCACTGCTTCCTGCCCGGGACATCTACTACCAGGCCTGCGTGTTTGACCTGATCTCCAGCGGAGACCTGAACTCCAGCATGGCTGCTGTCTGCGCACTACAGGATGCTCGAAACATGATCTCCAACAGGAAAGGGGTTCACCTCCTTCCTGTCGCCGCTGCAGGCCGAGTGCTACCGCACCTGATGCTTCTGCTGCTGCTCGGCATGCTGGGAACTGTGGGCGCAGCCTGAAGGGATCTTTTAATTAAATGCAATCTGTGCCGGGACTAAACTGTTTCTCGACAAAGATTTTCTCCCTCCTCGATGTGATTCAATCAGAACCTGATCCACATGGAAGTGAAGGAGGTTCTACACCAGAACCTGCTCAGAACTCTGAAACGGTTCCTGACAAGAAGGAGGATGCTGGGACTCTTCTCGTGCAGCAGACTGAACAGATTTTCAGAACCAGAAGATCAAATGTTCGCATCGTGTCGTTTGATAAAAGACTCCGGGACAAAAACAAACGGTTTCCTCCTCCATCTTTGTCTCCTTCGTGACTACTTTGAGGATCAGAGAAGATCTGATGATGAAGTTTTATTATTGTTTCTATAAAGTGCTGTCTGCGAACGGTTTGTACTGAAACCTCAGATGACTATAGGAACCACAAGTAAACCTGCAGTCTGAGACTGAAGGAAAATGACAAAAGCTGTAAATCATTAAAGATCATTAAAGAATATCCCTTATAAAAAGTTTTAAACATCTTTTTTCAAATCTTTTTGGTCTATTGAACTTGATAAAACATGAAAGGTCCTCGTTGTAAACCATCAAACTAAACGTAAACACTTCATCCTGTCAGATGTTGTTGTTTACTCCCAAACATGTTTCATTCTGATCTGTGGGTCTGCCCTCAACGTAAACACAACATGAAAAGAAAATACTGGTTCTTGGTTCTCTATAGGACTTCATCAATCTCTCTCCTGTTTCTGAAGAAGATCCTGATCCACTCAGTGACTTACAGGAGCCCAAACCATCAGCCTCCACCACCGTGCTGACAGCTGGAGGAGCTGTTTGCTGCAGTGCATTCTGGGTAAACATCTGTCCTTTGGTCTGGTTCTGGTCCAGAAGTCTTGTGGTTCCTTCAGATGAAACTTTCCAAACCTAAGTTTAGCTGCCATGCTATTTTTAGAAGGAGGTCATGACCTTTGACCTGCTAACCAAAGCCTGTAGAGTCACTGCATAGTCTGACCTTCAGGGTGAATCAGCTGTCTGAAATGTTTTCCACGTGTAAAGAATATTTCTCTCTGTATAACAATGGACTCTAAATGACCTTTGACCCTTCACAGCTTGCTTCTCATATATCAGTGCTGATGTCTTTCCATCCTGGCATTGTGATAGCACACCTGGATGCAAATGACGTTTTCCCTCCAATAATGAAATGGTTTGAAGTAATTTTTTCCAGAAGGACGACCCTGAGGTGTCCCAGATCACCTGTGTGGCAGGTGACTGAACACGAGTCTAAAAAAAACCTTTTCTGAGCCAAGCCTTCATCACGGAAAGGAGGCGGAGCTTCAGCTCTGAGGTCTGGGAAGGTGTGCTGGGCGAGACCAATCACCTGAGGGCCATGAAGATGATGAAACATCTGCACAGCTGTCAATCATTGAATGAATCATTGAATCATGAGTTAAAGCAGTAAAGAGACAAGAGCTGACAGCTTTACAGATTTTAAGTCTTTGCTTGTTAATTTTGTCCTCTTTTATTATCATTTGCAATTATTCTAATCAACATTTTTTGTTTTTGTGTTTATTTTTGTTCCTGTTTGGTTGTTTTTAGTTGTATAGTTGGAATAGTTCTGTCTCTTTGATCATTTTTTTTTTTTTGTGCAAATGTGTGAAAGTCGTATTCCAAAATGGATTTTGTTGGATTTAATTTAAAGTTTTGAGGCCATTTCTAAACACTTTTTGTATATTTTTTACTGTTATGTGTCTCTGAAGCTGTTAGCTTAACTGTAAAGACATTAGCTGAAGGTTAATTGTAGCTAAAATGAACTTTAGCTACATGCTGACTGTAGCTAACATCAGCATTGTGACATCAGTCTTAAGCTAATTTAGGATGAAGGATTTCTGGTTCTTGAGTCTCATTTTGCAACATTTTATGATGATTTTTCTTCCTGTGATGTTTCTTTCAGAACATAAATTTATGTTTTTATTTTATCTGTTTGTGTTCATTTTGGTTGTAGCGCTGTAATAATCCAGGAATATTTTTACACTTGTTTTCACCAGCCAGAGTTGTCTGCCTCTCTGTTCTTGTCTCATTTTGCTTGTTTCTCATTCTTGTGTAGTTTTATTATAATTGTTTTGTTTTGAGCCTAACTTTGTCTGGACTGCTCCATCAAGTTCAGCTCCGGGGGGGGGGGGGGGGGGGGGGGGGCCCTCAAGTGGAGTCAGAAGCATTTACTCCAGCCCCCAGTTTTCCATGGAAGAGACCGGAGGGATGACGCAGCCTGCCTACAGACTGAAACGTTTCTCCTCCGCATGCAGCCTGCAGCTAAAAGCTTTCATCATTGTTCCACGCAGGATCTGATGCAACGAGCCCGGTCACATCAGGACTAGATGAGAAACTGAGTCCTGAAGGAAAGTCTTAGTCTGTTCACACATTTATTTATTCTGAAACATCCTCAGGTGAACAAATCACCTGAAACCATCTGAGTCTGGGAACAGGTCTGGTTCTGTCGAGCACGCAAAAACCCAGAATGTGTCTGGACCCTGCAGAGCCTGCAGGAAGTCCACGTTTTCACAAAGACACAAACAGAACAAACGAGACAAAAATATCTTCAGAGGTCCAGAAATAGGTCCAAAACAAACAGAGACAACTATTTGTCCTCAGGCGTTAGGCCCGCCCACCTGTCCAGGTGTCTGAGCTGAAGCTCCGCCTCTTTTCCATGATGGCTCACAGCTCAGAGAAAGTTAAATTCAGAACCCTGAGCCCAGGTGGCCTGTGGCACCTGAGGGGCGGGGCTCACCTGTCTGATCAGAACCAACAGTGGCTTTTTCCTAGAAACCAAGGAGGTTTTGGTTAGATGTTCTGATAGAACCTTCTCTGGAACCAGAACCGGCCCAAAGCAGAGATGGTCACCCAGAATGCACAGCAGCAAATCTCAACGGCCAGGCACGGGGGAGGAGGGCTGATGGTCTGGGTGTTCTGATGGTTCTGTTTCAGATGTTCTGATCCGTTCTGCAAGGAAACATTTTTTCAAATCACACACCAATCCTCCTGCAGACCTCAGAACTTTTTTCTTTGATGTGTAATTTTAAATGTAATAAACTCTCTCTGAGGCTGACGGAGTTTAAATCACAGCTGAAGAATTTATTTAAATTAAATCAAGAAGATCTTCAAATGACTGAAATCCAGATTTTGTGAAATCTTCCACGTTTTGTCAGAAATAGCTGATGATGAGGATGAGTCAGAGAGGAGTGTTGAAACTGATGAAGGTGTGGATTCCTGCACGCTGTCATGGGACCAAACGGACCGGAACTTTTACAGATCCTGATGTAGAAACTTCTGAGAAAACCGACGGTGGCACTTCCACAGAACGAGCCCCCGGGCCCAGATGGACCCGAATAAATATCAGCATCAGCAGCCTGAGCATCACACACCACATCCTCCTCAGAGCAGGACCAGGACCAGGACCAGGATCAGGAACCAGTACCAGAAATCAAAACTAATACCAGAATCAGAAACTAGGACCAGACCCCAAATTAGGACCAGGATTATAAACTAGAACCTGGACCAGGACCCCAAACTAGTACCAGGATCAGAAACTAGAACCAGCACCAGAACTTGGACCAGGCTCAGAAACCTGAACCAGCACCAGAACCTGGACCAGGGTCAGAACCCATACCCAGATCTCAGCGTCTTCAGCCTCCACCAGAAAACAAGTCAGTATTTATTTATTTTTATTGAATTTAAAATCTGTAAAGCGTTTTATAAACTTTTTATTCTGAATCAAAGTTTTATTTAAAAGAAAACAAAAGAAAATATTTACACAAAATAAACATAAAGCTCTCACTTCAGGTAATTAATGTTGTTTTGTCGTATTTTATTCTCAGAAATTTGATTTAATTTAAATGTAACATTTTGTCATGAGTCAGCAGAAAGTTTCAGGCTCAGAGCTGATCGCCGCCATGCACGGTGGGCGATAATGTCCAAAGACCAGCCTGGGCTGCATTTATCGGTCTGTCAGTAAAATATCTCATCAACTACAGGAAGGGTTTTTTTTTAATAAAACACAAAGTTAACTCGGTGAGTTTGATGAATACTTGAGTAAAGTTTGGTGTGGTAGTAGCTGAGAGTCATCCCTGTACGCTGAGGTCTTTAACTTGTGGCGTTTGTGGCGGCGGGCGACATGCATTCAGTCCTGCTGCCGATGTCTGTGAGGAATAAGAACAAGGAGTTTCATGGAGTGTTTTTGTTATTAAACTCTCAAATTATTTTCAGGAGCAGACCTCCGGTGGTTTGATCCGAAATAAATCTGGAACAGACGCACCAACCTTTAATAACGAGAATTAATGTTTTTTAATTTAAACTCTCTCCAGTGTTGTTGTTAAAGATTAGGCCGCGGTGGATCAGCGGTCGGTGCCGTGGTCTCATAACTCTGAGGCTGCAGGTTCGGGCCCGGGTTGTGTTAGGATGGACCTCAGGTGTGAAACAGACCTCAGTGGTGTGAGCCCCGAGGAGGGAGCCGCTGAAAGAACAACTCTGTCAGGGTTCTGTCCGGGTTCTGTCAGGGTTCTGGTCGGACGCTCATGAATCAGTTTAGTCTCAGTGAGTTTCTCAAAAAAAGGATGTGAATAAAAACAGCAAAAGGACCTGAACCTGCTTCAGATGTTTGTTTGGATCATTTCAGACCAGCAGACGCTCCACCTTCATGTTTTCATGACTTAGATTTAAAATAAAAACTCTTCTCATGTGAGCCCAAGTCTAACAATGAAATCTTCATAGTTTGAGTCCTGGTCGGAGCCAGAACCTGGTGCCGGCGCTCAGCAAGGACCGGACTCTTCAGTTTTGTCCAGAGTCCAGTCTGCAGCTGCAACATCTACAATAAACGGCTCAGAACATCTGCTTATTGCAGATTTTGTACAAAATTAAACGATAATCCAACATTTTATGACAATGTCCTAAAAGTATTTCCAAATGAAAACTAACTTTCATTTGTCCTACACTGAGTGAAAATTAGCTGATAAAAAGCTGTTTTACTTGCATCACATTTTAATTAACTTTTTTTTTTTTTTTTGCAAAAGTTTGAGAATATTTTATTAAATTGAACTTTAATTAAAGGGAAATCATTTTTCTTTTGGGTCAAAAGTTTGTTTCTTTTTGTGTTTTTCTTCAGATAAAATATCCTGAATTTAACTTTAAACTCTGGAATTAGTTCTGATAAAACATCAATATGAGATACAATAACATTTGATAATAATAAGTTTGATATGTTCATCTGTTCCATGTTTTTATTGTTAGTTTCTGAGTGTCTGTGCAGCCTTGCATACTTTAAATCTGCTCCTCTTCCTCTGCAGTGTCTCCAGCTTCCCTCTACTTCCTGTTCCTGGTGTTGTGGGCGGAGCTTGCAGCAGGTTATCCCATCAGTAAGGAGATGAAAAGCATCGCTGAGGATCTGCTGAAGGTTCTGAAGACCTACAGCAACGACATGAACAAATCTGTAAGCTGCAGCGTTCAGCTCTTCAGCAGCTGTTCTAGACGTGGATGGATTTTAGAAGGATTGCCGTTTTTGTTTTTGCAGATCTACCTGAAGGACCTGCCCCCCGCAGAGTGCAAGGAGGATGTAGTCCCCTGGAACCAAGAGAAGGTCCGGCCCACCATAACTTCAAACAGAATAAAACAAAGGATGCAGCTGTGAACACAGGAGAGGTTGACTGATGTGAAACTTGTTTTTTCTGCTGCAGGTGGACGAGCTGGTCCCCAGGCTGAGCCAGAACCAGGCCTGTGCACAACGACTGCAGCCGTTCACTCCTAACAGCTCCCTGTGTCCAGCTCTGCTCCTCAACCAAGAGCTGCTGCAGAACCTGGTGAGGCTCTGCAGGCCGACTGGACCCTGATAACAAGTGATGGCAGGAGAAATACAGAGAATACAAAATCAGAGAAGGAGAAAAGTGGAAATGGAGGACAGGAAGAGATGGAGGGTGCAGGGACAATTTGTAGATATTCAAACAGAAATGAAGACATTAAGGATGAAAAAATCAACATTTTGATGGAAGTTTCATGTCAGAACACAAATGCAAATTGATTTATTGATGTGTTTTCAGAATGGATCAGACTCGGACTTCACAGAGTGTTCCTCCTCCTCCTCCTCCTCCTCCTCCCTGACTCCAGACCTGAGCCTCCTGAATGAATCCATGAGTTGTGTTTCCTGTTGGATCCAGCAGGTGGCGGCACTCAGACAACGCCACAGATAGCTGTTCGAGGACCAGAGACTTCTGGAGTAGAACCAGCCTCCTCCTCAGCTGGTTTCTGTATGAATTTAAGCCCCGCCCCCTCCATGTGAACAAACCAGATGTTTATCGACGTGTTCATTTTTCGAACACAACCAGCTGTAACGAGTTATTTCAAGCCAAGACGGAAGGTCATGTGACGCCATGATTGTGTGCATTAAAGTGGGAGGAGCTTAAAGGTCCACATCACTAGAGTGCAGACTCTGGTTCCAAAAATCCAACATGGCAGCTCCTGTTGACGCGTTTCTGCTGGTTTGTGGTTCCCAACAATAAGAAAAGGCCAGGACAACGGTTCTGTGGTGTGGGTCTGGTTCTGACCCGGGACGGGAGGGAGGCCCCAATGTTTAACTTATTGTTTGTTTGTTTGTTCACAGTAACGTCAACTGTTTTTTTTTTCTGTAAATAAACACAAAAAGTCATAAATTTGTAAATAGTTGCTAAATAACAATTTTTTTTATTTCACATTATTTAATTTTGTTTTCTTGACACATTTTTGTTCTCAGAAAAAGAAAACCTGTAAATATTTTATGTAAAGTGAATAAAATTCTGTATTTTTAGTCTTCAGTCTGTCCGAACACCCAGAGGTGCTGCTGAGTTTTTGTTTTAACACTAAAAATATATTTTTTAAAACTCTGATGAAACAAAACGATTATAAATGTTTTTATACTGATTGTTTTTAAATGCTAAAGAATTTTCTGCTCGTGATATGTTTAAATAAACTTGATTAAACTAAAGGAGCCGTGTTTTGTTGTCTCCTCGCTGCAGCGAGCGAGCCCACCTACAGGTCCCAGAGTTCAGCTCATTTGGAAGTTCTGACCCAGGTCAACCTGGTCCTGGTTGTCATGGAGATAAGGCAGGTTGATGGCATCTTCAGACTCCTGTTCTCCATCAGGGGTCCGTGTAGTCCAGGTTCTGCTCTCCGTAGTCGTCATCAGGGCCGGAGCTACCAGCTTCAGCTACCAGCAGGTCGGTTCGTTTAAACGCAGCTTTGACCCCGAAATTTTGGAAGAGGCTGACTGCGATGGCGAGCAGCGCTATCTGCAGAGACAAACAACACAAACTGTTTAAAGAGATGGTTTTTTTTAACTTTATTGAACTACTGAACATACAGAACAAAAGAACACAAATAGAACAACAAATGACAATCTCAAATTACAATAATACATATAAACATATACAAATATCTACAACCATACCTCCTAAGGTCAACATATTCTTAAACGAATTATCATATCAACCATCATAACCTTAAATTTAGGTAATAATACTATTTGAGAGATTGCAAATAATATAGTACAGTAAATTAAACAACTAACTATTTATCTAAGAGTCTACATAATTAGTAAAATAATTTGTCAGAGGGCTTTATTATCTGAGCGAGGTGATCAGAGCTTTTTTGCTTGTGGTTTTTTAGCTCTGTCTAATGAAAGTTTAAACATCTGGAGTTCTTGTTTGAATACAGACCATAATGGTTTAGACTTGCCATATCTGCATTTATGTATATAGAATTTTAATATTATGATAATGTTATTGACAAAGTATTCGTCTTTTTTATTTTCAGATACATATCCATATAATATATTCTGAACGGAGAAGGAGTCTATGTTCATAGATTGGATGGTCAGGAGATCGTGAAGGGATTTCCATAATTCACAGAATGACAGAAATAAAATAAATGTTCTGTTGTTTCAGGTTCGTTACATACAGGTATATAACAGTTATCACATTCAAATTTAAATCTATTTCTGATAAACTCGTTAGAAGGATAAATATTATTTAGAGTTTTGAAATGTAATTCTTTATATTTAGGTGGAAGAGGGAATCCCAGATATGTTGTCATTATTTTTATTCTTTCCTTCTTATCATAGAAATCGTGAAACTTTCTTCTTACCTGACCAGAATATATTGTTTTTATTAAATGTTGCCTTAAAAAATTGTTGTTGCATTTATTGTGTGTTAAATTTAGTCCATTGAGATTGATGCTCGCTAAACTAATTGTTGGTTTAGTTTCATAATTATTCTTTATTAACTGAGCAAATGCAATTGGTATATTTTTTGTTACTTTATCACAGTCTTTTTTGGTACAGATTAGATTATATATTTTTGTGAATTCTTCATAGTCATATAAATTTCCCTTTTCATCCATGAGATGAGTGAGTGACCATATTTGTTTCTCCATCCACGTTTCCATGAACACAGACTTCCTTCTGTGTAAAACGACTCTGTTGTTCCAAAAAGGAACATCATGAGGACTGAAGTTATGTTTGGATGCTGGTTTCCAGTTTGTTTAAAGAGATGTTAGCACCCCCACAAGGTTAATGAGAAAAACAGAAAAATCTACACGACAAAAAACAACAAACAAAATAAAACAGCTTCATCTTATTTATTTACTTGTTGTTTATTTGATAGGGACAGACACAAGAAACAGATGAAAACAATCTAATGCCTGCATCATAGTGCATATAGCCAAAGTTAATTCGCAACACCCGTCCCTTGATGGGCCTTTAACAGTCGGTTAAATGAAAAGTTAAGCTCAACAGTAAAAACCAATTAAAATTATTTTTAAAAAAAGAAATAAAAAAAACAATATATTTAAAACTATTGAGTTCAAACAATTACAATATTTAAAAATGAGTTTCCGGTTCATCTTTAGCGAATTCTTAAGCCTTGTAATGTCAGCTATGGTCTTAAGATCAGATGGTGAGTTCCACAGCTCACAGCTCCTGACAGAGAAGACAGTCCGTCCAAAAGTTGTCCTGCAGAATTACATTTTACTGTCATGATCTGTGGAACTTCTAATGACTCTGCTGCTGTTCTGTCTCTCAACAAATGGCTCAGGTGCTACACGATTGATGCATTTATGGAACGGTTCATGAAAACAAAAACTAATAAAGTTATCAAAGCTCATTAGATTTTATTTCTTAATAATGGTACAGTGATGAAAGCAAATTGGCTTTTTAGCCATGATTTTTAAGCCCGATTGTGTAAAGAGTGAATGTGTTTGCACTTGGAGAGGCATGTGTCCATGCAGTCATGCAATACGATATGTGACAAAAAAATTATAGAATGCATATAGAGCAGGGCTGCCTGACTTGGTATATAGTTTCTAATTAGTTTGAAACAATTAATATTACTTTGTATTGTTTTTGAAATTGTCTTTAAATGTTTATCAAATTTAAGTTGAGGATCTAGCACCAAGCCAAGGTATTTAAATTCTGCAACAGACTGAATTTTTTCATTTTGTAAACGAACATTAAATTTTTCTTTTAAATCAAGTTTTGTTTTTTTGTTTTTTTTTATTGAGAAACCCATGGAGACCGTTTGTGATAGATTCAGAAAAAAGTAAATGTTTTCTTTCTTACCTGGAGTAAAATGAGGCTCACGTCCATCGCCACGATGGTCAGGATGTTCTGCTGCAGCCAATCAGAGAGCTGCTCACTGCAGCTCTGACTCAACAAACACACACATAAACAAATAAATAAACAAATAAACAAACACAAAAACACACCCAATAAATAAATAAATGAACACATAAACAAATAAACTAACATAAAACAAAGAAACACAACAAACACATAAACAAATAAACAAACACATACAATGAACAAATGCAAATAAACAAACTAAATAAACCAACAAACACACAAGAAAGACACATAAACAAATAAACAAATAAAATAAACTAACTAAATAACCAAATAAATACACACAAGACACTCATAAACAAATAT